AAAAAGTAATCACTTGAAGCTCAGTAAACCAAGTAGGTAAGTAAGGGCCTCGCCACACCTATCTCCAAAACAGCGATTTGGAGAGAAGTGGCATCGCCACACCAACTCCCGAAAATCGCAGTCAGAAAGAATTTGGAGAGCTGTCAGAATGCGGTTCTCGGGAGTGCTCTCGAACTTTGTGGATCGCCCCGCCTGCAAAGCACAGGATCCTCCGATTTCGGCCCCAAACTGGAGAGTGCGCCTCGACCGACAACCATCTGTTGCCACCGTTTTGTCTGGGTTCGCCACACCACTCTCGAAAGGTTTTTTCACATCTCCCGCATTCGGGAGTGCTCCCGAACTTTTTTGCGTTTTCGGGATAGGTGTGGCAAGGCCCTAAGGCAGCTGGAAATCGGGTCCAGCGTCCCACTAGGTGTCTTGTGTTTTTCTTTTGTTTTTGTTTTGGCTGGCGCCGACAACCATTTTTTGTCCGGTTGCCACGAGGCTCTGATGTTTTGGGAGAGGCTCTGTCATGGTTCTCAACCTGGCTGGGGCCACGGGGGCTCCCTCCCTCCACTACTTGCCAAAGTTAATATCGAAAAAGAGAATGAATCTTCTGCTAGAAGATGGGAAGATACACCGCCGTATGTTTTGTATTTTTTGCAGTTGGTGAGTAGTGGAGCGAGGTCCATGTACGGGTGGTCTGCAACTGGAAAAGATGGAGGGCCAAGGAGAAGGACCCTGATGCTGACTCTGGTGGTCAGCAGGTCTGCTCCCCGCCAAGAAACGTGTAGGGCCTCCCCTCGCCACACCACTATCGAAAGGGAAAAAGTTCCAGTACTACATCTTCACGCAGAGCGTCGCAAGATGCATCCGTTACTATGAATAGCAAGAGATGCATCTTACCCCTTTCTGGGGCAGATGCATCCCTTCTGTTTTCGTTTCGACAGTGGTGTGGTGAGGCCCCTAGTCTCAGCAGAAAGAGAACAAATGCCACGCCACTCCAGCATAGCTGGTTGCCAGGAACTCCCTTTTCTTTTTTTTCTTTTTTTTTTGAAAGGCCCATGTGCAAGACCTCTATCCTGGTGGTGGTAAGAGAACCACCGGGATTGAGGCTTTGCCTGGCGGGCCTCTCCATCTATTGGTGGGGAGCCTCACCTGCTGTAACAACATCAGTCTAGCATTCAAACATCACGTTCGAGATGCAAAAACAAGTAATATGCGTAAGCACACCACTCAGGAGAAAGATATGGAAGAACGAGTGCAGGTAATAGTTTCCAGAAGATACAACATGAAGCACAACATAGTCAGGCGAAAGACCCTACACCGTGTTTCTGCCGGTCGCCTATCCGGCGTCATCAGGGGTCATGGTACCTGGCGCAAGAAGCAACTAAAAGTTCTAAACTTATATACTTACCTATATGCGCTGGACTACCGCAGTCAACCATCGGCCCTAAGTTCTAGAAAAAACATGAACCGGTAGGACCAAACTGGCCCGACCCCTCGATAAAAATCTGAAAACCCAAAAATTTGCGAAGGTCCCAGGTTCAATCTCAGATGACAGCTGCAAAAGTTCTACAATAATCCATGTAGGGTATTATGTGCAGCCTTCCACAAGAACGAGCGGTATGTTATCAATCAAGGACTGTTGTTTCAAAATCTACAAGATTTTTCTTCTTATACGGATAAGCAACAAAAGTTGTCCGTCATTACCGCCTGTCTACACAGGGCAAGAACTTTGACCACGATACCGGGGGCCGAGGCGTGTTTTCTGTTAACATTGAAATTTGAACTTCAAATAAGAGGTTTCCCCGATTATTATTTCGATCATAGTCTGAAAACCTTTTCGGTTCAAATGAATAACTGTTGGAGACCCTGGGTGCGGTGTCGTATGGACTGGAAGTGGTAGAATCAGGCTATGACTCGGGCACTCCCTTTGGGCGCTCCAAATTTGGTCTGGTAGATCGGTTAAGTCTGGCACAACCAAGAGTTCTTGGAGGATTCTAGGTTCGAACCAATGACCTTGTGCGTTGATTCTGGTCTGGTAGATCGGCATAACCTGATATAACTATGAACGCAGCCCAGAAAGTCCCATGATTCATCAGCACTCGTCAACTCCAACGCCAAATTCTTGTCGTAACAGTGTTTGAAAAGCTCAAGCCTTTTGTTAGCTAATATCCTCGAGTATTTCGATCCCTTCCGGAATTTTGAAAAAACAGAAACGTCGTCCACGAATCTCATCCCAAAGAGAAGTCGACGTTCACTACCCAAATGCCTAAGAAATTCATGCTCGTTGAACGCACACAGCAAGCATGCAAGGGCCGGGCTTGATGATTTCCCCATAGGTATCACCACCCTCTGTTGGAGGAGAGCTTCCATAGCCAATAAGTAAGTGTTGTCAAGATCGAAGGCTACCATCTTCAGGAGCAAAGGGAAACTAACACGTCTAAATCCAGCAGAAGCCGTTTTCCGTTTACCTAGCATGCCGCCTTTTCCTCTGATTTTCACAAAGACATCTGACAATCCTTTCTCCTTGGATTCATAGACCAGCCATTCTACTGCTCTAATGATAGACGCATGGGGTAGTGCAGTGAACATTTCTTTGACGTCGAAGCTTGAGGCAATGATCTCCTCATCCAACCCAATAGAGTTGTTAAAGGAGGTAAGTCGTCCAATCATATCACTTGGGCTTTTCAGATTAAAATGAGACTGTTGTTACCGTCTGTAGACGTGGTAAAATTACGATTGAAACATCCCCGAAGTTCATTATCAGAAATCGAGAAAATGCTGGTATCACTTTGTGCACTTTTCAGACCCTCAACTATACAACTTCTGAGTTTCGCGAGGTTTTTCTTGAACCCTGGAAATAAGATGTTCTTCCCATTCTTTGCAATCTCAGGAACCCAGTCGGTATCGCTGAATCTAAAAGAAACATGTCCCTCCATCCTTGGCAGTCGGCTCAAGGTATAGTTTCTTGCAAGATGATGGATTCTTCAGCAATTCAACCCGCCTGCATTTGTTCTTCTCAAAGCGTGAACAAAATCTCAAGATAGTTTCAACAACAAGCTCAGCACCCGATACCAAAAATCCCCTACAATGTCGAAGCAGCTCTATCCTCCCTCCACATCTTACCACAGAAGATCCGTAACATCTGCAAATCACCTTCCATTTTTTGGCGAGCAAATTACCCCCATAACATTTTATTGTAACATTCTTGACGTGGCTAGCGAAGCACTCATCAAGAATACCACGAAGACTGGTTGATGCGCTACCTGTACGGGAATGAAATTGCACGAAGAATTTCACTGTCACGTCAACTTTGGATTTTTCTAACCCCAACTCACTGCTTCGTCGTTTCCTCTCGCGCTTGCCTACTCTCTTCTTCCCACGTCTTCTACCATGTGTCGGAGTCGAATTCAAAAAAGGATTAAAAGTACGAATAAAGAATGACTCAACTTCGAATAACCGATCCGGACACGAAACAACAATAGGCACAACTACATAACTTCCGACCTTCTCTCGACGTAGCCATCGGTATAATCGATGGTTCCGAATATTCGCGTTAAGTGGGGCATAAACGCGGTATAAATGTTCATTTCATCTAAAGCTTAACGACAGAGATGTACATCCGACATACATATGTTTGCACCATGGGGAGATTAAGACGTAAATCACAGGACCCGGGCAAGAGATGAAATCATAGCCAATAGAGAATAAATAATGCAGGAATGGAACTAGTTTGCCGCACCAAGGCAGTCGTCGGAGAAGAATCAGAAAGATCACCGCCAGTCTAAAAACATTATCGATCTTACCGTCACGTTGGAGTCGTCTACTGTCACGCGCATCTCTACATGCAAGAGCCAAATCGCCAATCTCATTGACGCTCGGTAGCCAATCTTAGCATTCGGTCGAGGCATCTCCCTCGTCGCCGTCATCAAAACCGCTACCACCCGCCAGATCTTTTGAATCTCCGGAATCTTCCTTTGTCTCAATAGTGTCGGAGGGGGGTGGGACATTCCGCTTCCCAAAAGCACGATCCGCATAAGCGTCAGCTATCTCGGTCGCCGATGCTTTAATCGTTACGTAGTCTACCTTCTCCTCTTCACATAGTTGTTCGATCTCCTTCTTCTTCAGTTTCGATAGCTCCGTAAATACCCTCTTCCTGAATTCGTCACGTCCTTCGTTCTTTAGCTTGATGAACTGAACATTCAACTGCCCCTTCTTGCTAGCTTCCCCGTTTTTCATCGGACTTGACATTTTGCTTAACCGAATTCGCAGATTCGCAGGTGGTGAGACGCTTTTACGCAGGATCCTCTTTTTCTTGGTGCTAGGCGGAGTCGCCACTGCCGATCCAATCCTAGCAATTCTCTCTTTCCGCGCTTGTACTTCACGCTCGGCCATGTCCTTGTCGTCGCGGACTCGCCTGTAAGCATCCGCCAGCTTAACATACTTTTCAGAAGTGGGGTCCACCGTCTTCGCCAACGATGGTGAGGGGCTCGAGACTGCCATCGCCCCTGACGTTGTCCTTGTAGCTTTTATGAGATCATTCACTTGCTCTTTTAACCTGATAACGTCCTGAATGAGATGTTGATTATCCATGCGAAGTGACGCCAATTCCTGCTCTGATTGCTGTGGGCGGCAAGATTGTCGCTGCATCTCAGCCATCGCCTCTTTTAGCCTCACAATTTCTTCCTCTTTCTTTCCAAGTAACTCACCCTCTTGATTGGTTTTTGCGTCCGCTTCAGTGCGTCGTCGAACCTCAGTCGTCGTTGCAGTTACGGAACATTCCACTTTCTTCCCCAAGAGTTCTTCGCAGACGCTCCTCATCTGGTTTTGAACCATTGTCCCGATACTTTTTTTGAAATCTTTTTTCTCCTTCGTCTCCGCCAACCGCTTCTCTTCTTCATCCTACTTCTTCTTTTCCTCCTCTTGCTTCCTGATAGCAGTCTCCTTCTCCCTTTTAATACGTCCCCTTTCCTGCATTTCCTCAGACATCCAACTCCACATCCTCTCGACTTTGTCGTTCTTATCATTTCGCTCCGGGTACCATGAGCGTCGATAATTGCTATTGTATCCACCGTAGCCGCTGCCATACCCTCCGTTATGACCGCTGTTGTAGCCGCCGTTATAGCTACCGTTGCCACTCTCAACCCCTTGCTGATTGCGCACGTCATTAGACGGTGGTTGGTACGGGACAATCGCTCCTGGAGCCGGAGGAGCCGCGATCGATGCTGAGGTAGATGCTTGGTTGCCGTTGGCTTGCCTCGACTGCTGATCCATATCCCTCATGCGTGTTCGATAATCCCGGATAAAGTGCCCATGTCGTCTACAGTAATGACATACCGGTCGTTCCATCGAAGATATCCAAAAATAAGGTCGAAAATATAATTAGACAAGAGAATAGGTAGAGTAGAGATAAGTGAAACAAAGATAGATAAGTACGTAAAGGTGTTAGATCGTATTCACACAGCCGTAGTACTATTGCTACTTCGGTTCATACGTTGAATAATGTAACAACATCAGTCTAGCATTCAAACATCACGTTCGAGATGCAAAAATAAGTAATATGCGTAAGCACACCACTCAGGAGCGTACTACCTTCTTCCCCCGAAAAGAACGTACGGTCATTATAGTTATATTTAGACTGAAAGATAGCCCAAATTCAGCTATAATGACCGTACGTTGTATTCGGGGGAAGAGTGTAGGATCCAAAAAAAATAATGTGTTGAATGAGCACCTAGCATGTTACTCACCAAAACCAAAAAAAAAAAAAAAAAAAAAAAAAAAAAAAACCTCTCTGGAGGAGGTCCTGGAGAAGAAGGGGCACTTACTGACCATGGTGATGCGAAGTTACCGCAGTGAAAGTCTGGCCCTGTGGAACCGCTTTCCCGCCGGACCATAGAGTTCAGTCCTTCGGAACCACGCTTCCCAACTTCGAGCCCTCGTTGGAAGCAGACTGGGTGCTTTCATCATTTGTGAGACCACTCTGTGCTGGCAAAGAAAGGAAAGAGCCTTCTTCGTTTCCTCTTTGACTTCCCCTCTTGTCATTATCTTCTCGGATCTGTTCTTGGCGGTTGTTTATACTAGGTTTTACATATACCCGTTTTAGGGCATGCCCAGGGCACGCTCACACTGCGGTAGCAAATCCGTATAAATTGCGAAAATGGGTTGGGCCGAATTGGGGTATTTGGGACGTTTCAGGTCACACTGCGTTCACACCGCGTTCCCATTTCGCTAAAGACACGGTCGCTACTGTGTCATCAAGGTGTTGCTGTTTGGGGTTTCCAGTCACACAGAAGTAACCCCAAATATAGAACGTACATGTTCCCTATTCAACTTTGCATTTATTTACGAAAATTAAATAAAAAAAGAATAAGGATTTTGCGGTAACCTCTGGAGGTTACCGCAAATTCCTCAAACCCGTGGCCAGGCAGGCCGCTGACAAATGGGTTTGCGAATGGGGTGTTTGGGGTCTGAACCATTGTGTGTGACCAGCTGTGTGCACATTTTTTTGGGACTTTAACGGTTTTGGTACCCAGTGTAAGCGTGCCCTCACACAAGCACGTGCAATCGCAAATTATATGTGAGCCAATTTGCGATTGTACGACACTTCCCCCAGTGACACAGCACACCCAAATAGGTCACAAAACAGAAAGGACACAGTCTCGACTTGCTCTAGGAATGCAATTATACGGGCCGAGGGGTCACACAGCACGATGCATAAAAATCCATCTCTTCTTTCTGCTTTTTTTTTTCCCTTTTCTTACGAGAGTTGTCCACCAAACGTCAGATTCTTTTCTTTTATTTCCAGAAAGAAACGGGTATAGAATAAATACGCAATGGCGGGGACGTCCAGAGGTTCCCGCAAAATATGTAACCCCGCGGCTGTCCAAGCCGCTGACATTTACGTGTTCATTTGCGTGAAAATGCAAAATACGTAGCCTGTGTGACCCAAAAAATCACCTATAATTTACGATTTTATTTATGAAAATGCGTGCTAGTATGAGTATGCCCTTAGTTAGAACAATATGCGTTTCTTTTTAGGGCGTACCACCAGTCTCCCGTACATCAGATTCTACAATCCTCTCATATATCAGATTCTGCAATGATTATTGATTGTGCATTGATTCACTTTGTCCCACAGCAATTACTCGGGGTTTTGCTGCGCTACTCGCACCACCCCAAGTGGTCATGCGAGTAGTCCCCCAGGGTAATTAGTCAGTGATACCCAAAGGGCCTCACAGCTGCACACATTTACCCAGAAAACCAACTCACCACGCTGCATCCATCACCCAAAAAATCGGCTCACCACGCTCAGCCCATACGTGCGCGGCAGGCTGAGTGAAGTGCAGCGGCGAACTCACACCAAGTGCCCAGACCGCACCTCTTGAGTCGGGACTAACTCACCACTGTGGCGACTGCTTGACAGGACCCACCATGGCGGGTACTCTGCAGGCGGGGGAAACCGGTGTGGGGGTGAGTACTGAGTACTCAACCAGACAATTTTTCAACTGTCTTCGCATGGTGGACAGTTAGAGGAGTGGAGTGAGTAAATGCAGCTGTGTCGCTCATCCTGAAACTCAGTAGTATAGGTCATACTGGCCCCCTGTGACGCACGAGCTTGCGTGCGCACACTGGTTCCGGTGCCCCTTTTGATTTTCTTTGTTTAAAGGGGTTGTACAGTGTGTTTTTAGTTGCGCTTTCAGGATTCCGACATAATTCTGTAGGCAATTTTTGAGTTCGTACTTCCTTTTTTTTGCAAATTCTGAAAATACCCTCACAACTTGGCCGCATTTTTGTTCTGTAGCAGAGAAGATAGGAATCGACGTAGAAGTAGGATTTTAACGTGCCTTAGTGAGCCCGCTCGTAATTTTTTCAGTTTCAAGCTGGCTGTAGGAATCAGGCCCAGTTTTACAGACATTTCATGCAACTGTTTTGGTGCCTTCATGTTTTCCGCAAGTGCATTTGAGGCATGCACGCTTCCGCATGCAAGTTTTCCTTGCGCTCTTCGTCCTCCTTCTTGAATGCATGCCTTCATCGCTAAGTGAGCAGACAGGAAGGATCCTAAATCGACGGACTAGGTTGTAACTATCTTATTCTCCCCCGCTTCGGCCTTTCCTTTCTTCTTGATCCCGTTGAATCTTGGTCTTGCCTTGCACCGTCTCTTGTAACGTCGTTCCCACCTTCGCCTACACTTGGAACAGTCTTGCCGATCCCAAGTGACCTTAGAAGTCGGACGACAGCATGTAGAGAGGGTCCAAGCTGCTCACACTGTCCTCAGGTTGGCTACGATCACTTTGATCTAATCAACATGGCCCATACGAGTGCCGCTTTTCCTCTCTCTCACCTCCTTCCCTCCCCATCATACCCTCTCTGTCCTCTACGTAACTATAAATCTTGTAAGTGTGTCCTTCGTGTTGTCTCGCTTGCTAAGTGTCAGCTCATGTGGAGTAGTGGCTAGGCATTGGTGGTGACCAGCGAGCCAAAGATTCTTGCCGGGTCTGTTGTGGCTTTGCGGGATCGCGCGCTGGATCGCTGGGATAGAATGCAAGATCCTTGCGGATCAGTGCAAAAGCTCAGTTCACGGGGTGACGATTGCTGGTAGGAGTACTCCGTGTGCGGCAACCAAGATCGTCATTACTTGAGTTGGATAAAAGATGGTGGTATGTTGGTTGGCGAGGGCACCAAGTCTCTAAGTCTCTGAGAGCGGACGGATTTATGTCCTCTTTTTCTTTCCTTCTGTTTTCAAGTTTATATTCAGCAAGGGGTTGCCTGAGAGATCGTCATTCTTCTTTGCATTTGTCTCGTCGATTGAGTAGTTTTTCATCCCTGGGTCTTGTGATCTTGTCTGTGTAAATGAATGAGTTGCCTATAAATGACTATGAGTGAACTCTCTTTTCTTTCCTATCCTTCCCATGCTCCCCACTACACTCTTCTACTCGCAAGAAGAACGCGCGAGGAGCAAACCTTCTTGAAAGCGCAAAGGTCCTTTAAATTTCTTCTTCCCTGTCTGTTAATGAGTTAGGTGGATGAGGCATGGCGTTCTTCAAGCAATGCATGATTGATTGTGTACGTATGGAATCAGCATTTGTCTTTCTTTTGACGTGTATGACCTTTGTAGCATGGATGATAACTTTCTGCTTAATTGTTAATTGATTATCAATACGTGATGTTGCTCACTCCACTGCAAATCGTATCTCTCCCGTGAATACCCGATTTTTTTTGTAATTCAATTTGTGGTTTTGTGTACTAGACGAGGTTGGATGTGTTAACCTGACGCTTTAAACTCTCTCTTTCTTTAAGGATTTTGTCATATGGTTGTGATAGCGTTAGGTCGTAGCTAGTTGAGTACTCGTCACACTCTTCCGCTCACATAATCTATATATAGTCAATGGCCCGACACAAAAGTCAAGGAAGACAAGTAATGTACGATACTCATTGAGGTAAAACGTTTCTACACATCCTTCTCTATTTATATTACTTCAGCTACTTTTCTTTCTCAAATTCCCACCTCTTTACAGAGGATCTATATGGGTCGTAGAGTACCATGATACTTTCCAAAATTAAAAAAATAAAAACAAAAATATTAATGATTAATCACCTTAATACATCATGTCACCACCACGGTGTGGTAAGCATACTGGTCAGTCGCGCCACTGACGTATTGACGTCGACAATTTCCTCAGGAAGGATATCGGGTTGATGTCCCAACAGATCAAATACTTGAGTTACCACGCCACCAATTACGAGCTTGAAAACATAGCCACGTGGAATATCACAGAGGCCTTAATATTTCCCAATGGGGTCCATCAAGTCTAGTACCTGCGGGCTAACCTGGCAAGCAAGTAAGTTACAACGCTCAACATTTGGTCCCAAAACGGGGTTTTTACCCTTCGAGACATCCATTGTACCCGAGTTGATACCACCTTTCTTGGGTACCCAAACTTTCTTAGCTCCCGTGTGAAAATACTGCATCACGTCAAACTTTCACAACTGAAATTATGTGCAACAGAAAAATCCCACAAGAAATGAAAGTTAAAAAA